GTGACTTACGGGGTGGCGCTTTTCTCGCCCAATGCAACCTGCAGGACAGGGTACGCTGCAGGTAGACGGACGACCGACATCTGACATCGGAGTAATGAAAGTCTTGGCTATTTATTATTGGAGTACAAGGCCCCTGGCATGCCACGATAGACGCTGGACGAGAACGGAGAAAATTATGGGGTGCGCTTGATCCCAGCTGTGTGCAAATCGGGGCCAACAACCTTGCAGCCAGCCTTTGTACCATCCTAGATCGCTGTAGCCTTGCCTGGTAACTATTAAGTGGCTCGTCCACTTAGTCGCTGACGGGTAGTCGATAGACCAAGAGAATGGAAGCAAATTTGCGACCTGCCATGGGTTGCAATATCGTGGGCCCCAACTACAGAAGAAGCAGGGCAAAACTTGACCTGTCAAGTGTGACTGCTTCTGAGACCTGAGATTCCGCGCAGTGCCTTTGAAAGTGTGCAGCCGGTGTTCTGCATGATCAAGACGTCCAATGGGCGTTGATGTCCTGTCGTGTTGTCCACTGGTAGCGACTGAGCTCGACTCAGCGGAGGCGTAAAGACATCAGGCCACAAATCTCCTGGTCGATGCGATGTGATGATGCGCCCCGCATCAGTGGCTTGGCTGGGAGGCTGGGAGGCCAGGAGATGCAATCCAATGGAAGTGCAATCAATACCTAGGTATGTATGGCTGGGGAGTAATACAGTAAGTACATGAGGGTCGCATCTGGTGGCTTGTCGGACAACATATCGGATAGACCTGGTAGGGTGGTTGCATGCAGCGTAGAGATCGAGTGTGCTCCAGACGAGTTGAATGAAATCAATTGATTGAATATTCATTCCATCATGGCTCAACTTTCTGGGAAGGAGACGGCGCTCACCCAACATTTTCAATCAACAATGCTCCTTCCGACACCGCGGAGAAATAAAATTGCTCGAATGAATTGCAACTTTGGCAGGCGGGAAGGAGACAACAACCTCGACGACAACGTACAACGTACCAGACGTCACTTCAACCCAAGTCCAATTCTCCCAACATGCTCGCTCCATCTTCCCCGAACAGAGATCGATCTCAATGCCCAGGGCTAACTGACAAGACATCTTCAGTAGTAGCTCGTGGCGCACATAATCGCCGACCATTTCGACGTTACCCTGTTCCACAACAGTACATCAGAAAACGAGCGTGCGCTGCCTTCATTTCTCGCTTGAATAATACCCATCGATAATTTCCGAGAAGTTATTTCGCATGCGGATGAAGGGCACAAAACGGCCATCCGCAGATCAACAACGACAACAACAACAACAACAACAAAAAAAAAAAAGGCGCCCTCATATCAGCAAGCCTTGCTCCCCGTTGGTGCGCATATCGCATAGTACATACATTTCGTCCGCTTACTGTTGCTTGCGATATACTACAAATTACAGTGGTTACCGCACCCTCACAAAAACACCTTTAGTGGGGCACAAAGCGCGCCCACACAAACATGCAGCAAAAGCCGCACAGGTTCTGCCTGCGTCATACGAAGTATGGCTCATGGCGTAGGAACTCATTCAGTCACACGTAACACAGCACCAAGGCACCTCGGAGCCAACAAGGAGCCATCCCATCTGGGCTTGGCGCCTCTGACCAATTTTAGAGCCATTCCAGCCGTTATCAAAGGTGGCTTTGAACCAGTCTCCTACTATCGAGTGTTCTTCAGCTCGAATTGGTTGCAGTCATGTCCTCAACGACACCACCAATGTCGCCGTAAAGTTGCACGTCTTGCCATCTCGTGAAGATCAGATCCTGTGTATCAGCAAGAGCCTCGTCTCCAACACATTTCGATAACACATGGTTACTACCCGACTGTGAGCAAAACCAACAAAACGGACAAGCTGGTATATGGGCCGGCTCTGAACAAGGGTTGGCCATCATTGTTGTGTAATGAGTGTATGGAGTAACTACATTACATTAACTGCACTTCGACGCTAGACCACAAATATACCCACACAAGCTGTTATCCAGGGCCCTGAAGACCTCGAGTACCTATGTGGGTGTTACTGCCTGGGTTACAATCGCTTGCGAAATATTCCGGTGAATTGGTGATAGGATAAATCGTGAACACGGTCCGATATCGCTGAACATTGCATAACGCCCCGCGGGGGAGGGGGAGGTGTGACGGACGGCCAATAGCCCAGTATTGGCACCACTGGCTTGAAATGTGAGTGTACATGTTACATCTAACCGGTTGATGTTGGGATTTACGGTCTAAGGTGAATGGGAAATCTTTGGCAGTAGGGTTCGAAAGAGAGCAAGCCGTGTCCTGCCTGCAATTGTCGGTCACCACACCCACCATACACAGGCTACCGCGTCCGGTGCAAATTCGTCGTCCTTTATCATCACAAGCCCAGCCCTGTCGATAACCGGAAGCCACCCCCGTGGGTTATATTTGCTCACACTTTTAAAAAAACATACACTATTTGCCAAGGGCTGTCTGTTATTATTATGGGTACCAGGTCCGACAATCCTGCTACTTCTTTGTTAACGACGTCAACAACATGCAAAAGGCTGGAGTCACGACTGGGTCGTCTTGATGAGGGTCATCTCAGGTCCAAAATGTGAGCAGGACGTCGCCAACATGGCAAGCACTCGTCAACATCACCCAACACTCAGCACTAGGGTTCCGTGGTATGGAGCGGTCATGCACAAGCACTGAGGCTCATCATTGCAAGAGAGAGGTGTAGCTGCGCCCCTTTGCACCTTGCCTTGGCATCGAGCCGTTGAGGACCTCGCGTCGAAGGGGAGAAAAACAAAAAGGCCACCCAACAACTAATATTCAAACCCTCCAGGACAGACATCACAGCAGAACCGACCCTGAAGGCCGGACGACGTGAAGGGGTGTGTGCAACTAGATATTACCACGGGAGGCACACCACCACCAAGATGCTCACAATCCCCAGGCTGTTGTGGACAAAACCGACGAGTCACGTCCCACGACAGTTATCGAGGCACACGCAGCACATATCCAGTCTTTGTTAATGCCAGCCTGGTGACTGCGATGCGGGTAGAACCCTCGACGCCGCTTTCGGGTTGCCCGTGCCATTTTGGCAGCTCGGAGGGGAGTTCATCGCCTGTCATACGGAGTAATTCTGAGTGCTGCCTGGCTGGTTGCGGTCAGTCTTGGATTTTCAGCTGAGTGACAGCATGCTGTAATACTGTTCCACAGGCCGTGAGACGTGTACCAAACCTGACCCAGCGCGGCGGATGCTTCTGCATTCAACCGTCCGTGTGACTATGTAGCCGAATGGATATACGGATTTAAGGTTTTTTGTTGAGCAACCTCTGCCTCTCCGGGGTGACACAAGAATAGTGAGGCCGGAATATGTACCTGTCACTACCACTCCTTCTAGAAGCAGCGCCGAGATCAAGTCCATACTCTGTGCGGACGGACGGACGGACGGACGGACGGGTCGTACCATGGTACATGGAGATATGGAGACCACCCGCCCGGGACGGGCCATGTCTGCCTCGGGCCACGGCCTGCTCAAGTGGCGTCTGTTCGAGAAGAAACCCGTTAGATGTGCGTCATCTTGGAGGATGGATGTTTCACTGCCTGACGGAGTCTGCAGACCGAGACCAATTTCAGTCCCACTCGATACATCTTGTCCAAACACACCGGTGAATACATAAGCTCGTCGCAGCATGCTCCATCCGGTGTACTCCGTATGTACATTGAAAAAGCCGGAGCTTTCAACACATCGGCCTTGTTGCATGTTCTGGACATACATGTGTGCTTCTCGCAAAACATGACAACTCTGCTGTTCGGTACACAATGCTTACAGCATGCCTGCCCCGTACTTCACACGTAATCGCTACAACAATGACGAACAAAAAAAAAAGAAAAAAGGTCTTTATCTAATTGATTCCTTTGTGAACGCTGCAGTGGCTGAAATGGCCCATGGCACATGGCAGATGGGCGGAGAGCGTCATGGATGGCCATGGCTGAAGCCAACCAATGCCACCCTCCTTGCATTGCCTGATGTACTAATGGAAATGTACGCTGTGTACTTGACTCTTCCGGCCCGGGTCCAGTTTGTCGTTCAAGGCTGTCCGTCCCGGGTCTTGTTCCGCCTGTCGTCTCCTGAGTCCTTGCCAGACACAAAAAGTGAACAAGGACTTTGTCTGCATTCTACAGCACTCTTTGTTTGCACGGAACCGAGAGAAGAATGGCCCGTCCCTGAAGCCGACTTGGCCTTATTCTTGGTCTTGGGGTAGGACATTTGGAGAATATACAACGTACAATCCGTGCACATCTTGTACTTGATGCCCAGAATCCATCACTTACACCGACACCTTCAAGTGGCATGTTTCCATCGCCCATCAGTCCTACCAGGCTGTTGCTTGCAAGACACTTCTACCCTTCTTTGTTTTTTCTGGGAGCCATCTCGTTCTGCTCCAACAAGGGGCCTCTTTTTCCTACTTCGCATATGCAGCGCGGCGAGCATATACACACACGCAGCCGGCTGCCAACAGATATTGGCCATTTTGTCGTCAATATCTAGCGTTTTTGGCAGTGCTGAGACACCGAGCGTCAAAGCCGGGACGCGGTGCACGATGCCTAAGCATTGCTCCGGCATTTTAGCTGATGATAACACAATTTCCTTCGCTCCTTCGGGTAGAGACGGTGCTATACATACTCTGAACACCAGGTCGGGGAGGCCCGCAGTATCGAAACCTGTCGACGTTCTCGTTGTCCGTTCACTACCTCTGTCAAATCGCTCACAGCTGCGCAGTTGGGTGGTTCCTTACTTGTATTCTTGTGGTGTTCATCACCACTGAAGAGGTATATGAACCGCGGGCCCAACCATACGTCCCAAAGATTTCGAATCCAGATTCAACCACCATCATATCGCAAAGCTTTAGGCACCCTTTCCACGACAAGGTCTGCCATTCTTCACTGACACACGCGTCCAGCTTACACGTCAACATCGAAACTTACGCCAGGACCATCCATATCAAACATGGGTTCCCTATCCGAAATGGAAAACGACACTGTCCTCGATATTGGGGGCAGCTCAATGCCAACTGATCTTGGTGAGCGTCTGATAGACACTCTCAAGTCGAAGGATAAGACGCCGATACTCCCAGATGAATTCTTGTATAGCGATGAAGGGTTGGAATTCTGGAAAGTCATCATTTCCCAAGACGAATTCTACCAAACCCATGACGAGATTGCCTTGTTCAAGGAGAACGGGGAGGCCATCTCGAAACTGTTCGCGCGTGAGAGCAAGAAATTATTCTTGCTTGACATCGGTGCAGGGTATGTAGCCCGTCTTCCTCATAAACCTTGCCAGTGTCTGGTGTAGGGATGATTGAATGAGCCGTTAAGCTGACAATTTTAAAATACCAGAGACACTGGAAAAGTCAGCCATCTCCTCGGAAAGCTCAAAACACATGCTCAAGTGCCAATCACGTATTGTGCGCTAGATATATCCAAAGCTTCCCTGGAAGCTAATGTGACAAAACTAGCCAAAGAGCATTCAGGACCGGGATCCACGGTTAACACCATAGGTCTTTGGGGGACGTTTCAACAGGGCCAAAAGTTCGCCACAGAGAAAGTCTTTGACGGCCGAATGATATATCTTTCCCTTGGTTCAGTTTTATGCAACGACGAGTGGGACAAGGCCGTCGAGCATCTGAAGGGTTGGAAGAAAGTCATGCGTCCCGACGACTTGATGCTAGTTGGAATGGACGGCCATACAGCCAAGAACAAGGACCAGAGAAAGAAGCTGTGGGATTCATATCACAAACGGGAAGCCCTGTTAGAACCATTCTTCGAGAACGGTTATGAAGTCATGAATCGATCCATTGGCGGACGCATCTTCAATAATAAGAACTTTGAGTATCATGCGGAGATTGAAGATGAACCGACTACCAGGCACCGCAACTGGATAATTGCGCGGAAAGATATCTGGTGCGAGGCGACAAACAGCATGATCAAGGCTGGCCAAGAATATGACTGGTTCGATGCGCATAGGTATGGGCCAGAGAAGGTCAGAGAAATGTGTTCCCAGGTGGAACTGGAGGTTGTGAAAGTTTGGCAAGCAAAAGGCTCCCACTTCTGTATGTATCGAAGACCGTCCGACCTATGCCATTGAGCTAACACGTCGAATTGAAGACCAGTATTTGATCCGACCGATTGGTGCTCCGGTTCTAAAGGATAGCGACAGTGGTGTATCCGGTGTTGCATGAACAGCTTCGCTGATTACGTATGCATTCTGCCTAGGGGCAACGGCGACTTCGAGTTCCAGTAATCCAGTAGCCTTTAGCGTTAACGGATCCGGTGCTTTTTTTTGTGGCTCTGAGGAAGGATAATAACAAAACTTGCGTAATATGGGTCTGCAGGGTATAGATTGATTTGTTTTGTTTGGACCAAGGGTCTTTAATTATGTTAGGCAGAGGAATTCTTGCTCTTGCTTCTGGACAAGGGTCACAAGTCGTTCCCACCAAGGGTTTCGGAGGTGGATGGGTTGATTTGTCTCGAGATGAGGTAGTAATAGAGCCGGGATCTCTTTATCGATCCAGACCCAAATGTGCTTAAGTGCTGTATGCAAGGGGGGAACGCTCTTGATCGTCCCCAAATCCGTTAGCATTGGAAACTTTCACTAATACCAAGTGATGCGCATAAATATGAAAACTTACACTCCTCACGGGGGTCTGCAGAACCTCGTCGAACCAGTTTTCTGAAACGGCTTTATGCTCTCGTTTAGTTGCTAGCATGCCCAACAAAAATACGGGGAATAGCGGTGCCTGGGCTGTAAATTGGCTTCCCGATGTAGGCATGATCGTAATGCATCTTGCCAGGTCATCCAAATTCGAAACCACGTCGGAGTGGTTTCGAGGCAACCTATTGTAATAATTCAGCTACTATCTTTGCTGCCACCCGTTGATGGGTCCGAATCACGCTACTTACCGCATCACACGACACTGCAGGTAAATAATGGCAGCAAAACGCCAAGCCTCCGCGGTGACGTCTGTCATGAATGCGTTTGTGTCAATCTGGTAATTCTCTGGTACAGAACGAACCCAATCAATAACGGATAGTCCAGATTGTGCAGCCTCCCAACTCTTTGATTCAGGACTCCATTGTCTCATCTGGAGAAGCTCTCTATACAAATAATCCGCTGTCATTGGAACAACGGGACTTTCCGGCTCTTGCTGTAAACGTGCAGCACAATATGTTACTTGGTTCAGCACATGTAGCAGCTTCTTTGAAAACCCACAACCACCATGAATCTGGTACATGTCTTTTTCTGTGCCGTAGAGCAGCCAGCCAAATCGGGATGCTTCTTGCTGGGCATCAAATTTGTGTGGAGGGGGTAATGAGGACAAGGGCTGGGCCAAGATAACTGCGCGGCCAACAATGATCGATTGCGAGTTTCGTAGAGATGATGACTGTACATTTGATGATTTCCAAAATCGCGATCCATGGTCGGTTGCTTGAAGAAATTGCTCTCCCTGGCGGAATCCTTGAAGCCAACGGGGAGAAAATGGCTTTTTCAGGCGGCGTTCTGTTAAGACGATCTACAACCAAATTAGAGACCGTCTTCACGACAATGGTACCACAAACTCAGCACGTTTATGGACTGGAAAATCGCAAGACAATGACTTGGACCTACATCTTGCATGGAGAGAATGACAGCAATCGTGATTAGCTCATTTGCCTGCGTTTCGTCTGTGGCAGTCATCGGGTCATTGAGAAGTTGGGAAAATCGCTCCTCAGCGTCGGAGAAACGTTGATTGACTCTGTTACGAATAGACTCCAGTGGCAAATAATCATAAATATAAATGCCGGCTAGACTCTGGATGGCTGATCGGACACCAACGCTTTTGTGCATTTGGGCGAAATCCTTCAGCCACAGATTTGTATCTTCCAATACACTGCGACCCGGACACCAGTTCCGAATATCTCATGGTTTTTGATCAGCACATTGAATGTCGTACATGAATTTCTCGTTTATTGCGTTATACTTACAGAACATCCAAAATCGTCTATCAGTGTCGTCCATTTTAGCCTCATACCCATATTGAGATGGCAGCATCTTTGGCGCCCCCATACAAGCAACTTCGTTAGAAGAATTGGAGACGGATGACGAAGTAAACCAGACTGGAGTGTGAGACGTGAAATTTTGGGTTGACGGTTGATTGAAAAAGCTTGATAAATCGACCGTCAGTTCCAGCAAGTCTTCCCCACCTTTTGAAGGCACTGAGGAGGGGCCAATGAAGGTCGTTGAAGATGGCGGCGCCAACTCGTCGTTTGCTTGTGTAGAACCATCAATTTCCACGACTCTGGTGGCGTCGGGAATTGAGGGCTTGAGCCCAGTTGAGCGTTGCTTTCCATGCTTCTCTTTGGGCCAAGAGAATTTAATATAACCATTCACCTTGCCGTCTATGGGGCGACTAAAGAACTGAGACCTGTGTAGTCCAAAGGTACCGATACAGTCTCTGAAGGGACTATGAAAAACATGATGGCGGGAAGCGTGGCTACATTGAGGAGGAGGATGATCATCGCCTACAATCCCTGACGAGGACACTGGGAAGTCATCACTGGGAAGTGAAGGTCGAGAAATTGGTGGTGTAAATGCAGCCTCAAATTGTGTCGGACCAGAAGAGTGGAGAGTTTCCGAAGTGACGGTAGGAGGAAAGTCAAGTTGTGACGTCGTAGGTATGACTGGATAGCGTGTCAGATCGTGGCAGAGGCAGTGAAGCATTTCGTTATTAGTAGAAGCAGTTGGATCTGTGTGGAAGTGAAGGAATCCAGTCGTTAAGCATAACAAATGTGTCAATATGATGCAAGGTCTAAAGAGCCACTTTGCGACGGGGAGGAATATGACAGTATGTTCTCAACGGCCACAGACATTGATAGTTCGCTGCCCGTCCCTGCTCCATGACAGACACCCAATGCTGATGGCAATGAGCCCCCGGCGCTTACCGGGGAACGAGACAAAAGACCAAAAGCGCAAGATCGGGAACATTGAGGAATGTTTGTTGAAGAACGGAGCACTATGCCATACCACTAGAACAAGCTTCGTCCATGAGGCAAGACATGGCAACATGAGATGCTCCTGAGGGTTGACGCATCATCTGCGGATGAATGCTCGCTGACCGGTGTGGGGGCAAGCTGCACAGGACGATGCATCCAGCGTAAACAGGGGTGACTGAGAGGGGTGACTGAGTGGATGTATCGCCGGTGTGGTGACCAATAAAGACGGGCTATTGCTGCCCTATCCGCCATGTCGACGGGTGATGACATTGTGAAAGCCTAAGCTCCCCTTCTGGACACCGCGTCATGCGCGATGCAAGAAAGGTGGCAAATGTTTCGAAGCATAGAGTCCAGGCGTCGAGCTTGACGTCCAACCAACAAGAAACTACAAGACGAGAGAAAACAATACTCCTTACCTGAAGGTGCGTACAAGGTACCGGTGGTCGCTGCTGGGAAGGCTCCATAGGTAGTCGACGGCGACGGCGTGGGGTGGATATGCCCGGTTTCGAGGCTGTTTCTGCAAGCACCGAGCTGTAGATGAGAAGGGGGGGCCAAGGTGGTGGCGGACGGCTCGTTCGACCAAGCATAATTCCTACACCAGTCGTCTGCCGCGGGTAAACCTACCATGGCAATGCCTGTGGAGGGCGCAGAAGCAGCAACATACTGTGGCAGAGGAGGGGACACGTGCTGGGGCTGGGGGTCTGCGTGCAATAACGATGACTGGCCCTGTTGCTGCTCATAAGAGGAAGAGCAGCGCTGGTGTTCTCGCTGCAGTTGCAAAGGCGGCGGCGGATGCCACACCTGTTGTTGAGAAGACGCCTCGGTCTCACGATTGTTGTGAAGCTCTGGCGACGAGACGAGCCTAACACGCTTCGCAAGGCGGCCGTCGTCAAAGCCCAACGAGTCGCCCATGGGAGGATGATGTGTAACAAGCTTAAGCAGTCTGGAGTAAAAAGAAGAACGAGTCTAGTCGGGCTTAGGTTGGTGGCCCGGCCGGCAGTGGTTGGATGCTTGTCTTCCCTGATGGGCGGTGGCGGTCCGGGGTCACTTGGTGTGGGCGGGAAGAGAGCACTTATGAGATATGGTCGAAATCGACCTTTGGGCCTGCCAACAAGGGGCTGAACTGAACAACTGCAGCTGCAGGCTGCGGAAAGGGTCACGCCCCCGACTGGTACGACACACTGTCGCGCGACCGTAGGATCGGATAACGAGTATTATATCGGGGTTCCAGATGTATCCAGGGCCCGTCGATTCCCGTATGTCCGATTCGCGATGCTGGTCAATCGGCGCGGCTGTGTTAATGGTCTTCCCTCTCGAGCTGATGGGTACCACCAGGCCCCGTTCTTTGCGCTGTGTAATGATTATTGTGGATGTAGATACTGGGTGCTCCAGTTCACAATGACGGCTGGCCCACCAGCTAGCTCCTCGGTAGCTTTCAATGTTGGCGCTCGAGTTGGATGGAGAGATGAGAGGAGTTGACCGGCTGGTCCCGCGAGGTGGGTGGCTTTGGATGCTCAAGGGTGGTTGGAAACCCAAGCATCAAGCACTCGCGACCCAAGCAACCGCCTATGCCGCCGTCTCCTCGGATCAACTACATGGATAACAGGATCAGTTTTCAGCCAAAGATAACTCTGGGTCAGAGATACGGAGGCAGAGCTATTGTAGGTCGAGCGGTTTGCGCGTGTGCGCGTGTGTGCAGACAACAAACTGTAAGGGAGGTGAGGGAAGCGTTGAGAAGGGACGTGAAAGTGTCAGAGAAAGCGTGGGACATGGGACTGGGGGACTCGATACGGAGTACGGAGGGAGTACTCCGTACTTGGTGACATAATAACCTTGCAAAGTAACCATGGACTGACTACGGAGTTCTCCGTGTTGACTCCAAAGTCCAGACCTGTGTGACCTGGCAACTAGGGCTCGCGGTTTCACCAGGCAAGCAGAGACGAAGAACTCTTCAATGTCGGCACGGTGTACTCGGTAATACCTCCGCATGCAAACATTCCATGCTGCTGCCAGTGAGAAGTAGGGAAAATAGACTAGTCGATGGGGATCCAGGTTGTTGGGAACTTTGGCTTCAAATGATTTGCGCGCGAGTTCAAAATGCGCATGAATTGCACCTCGGCGGCAGGTACGCCGTAGGTTTTGAGACCAGGTGATCAGACTTGCAACAGTCCACACAGGGGGAAACCGATTTGGTTGAAGAAACAAGATCAGACGTGAAATGTGAGGAATGAGGAGGTCGGTCAGATGGGGAAGGAGCAAACAAGGGTTCTGTCAGATCTGGGGATATTGGCAAGGGATCGCACATATGTGTGTATGTACGTACGTATGTCGTCGGCCGTGAATATTAGGGATTGGGGCCTGCCCACAGGAGCAACGCCAGATGGGACCATCCCCCGAAACGTCTGGTTTTCAAGTGCAAATACAATATTGTACCCTCTAGCGTTCACTCGCTCACTTGGGCAAGGACCAGGGCGAGGAACAACACTCAAGCGGTTTTGAAACCCGAGGCCCAGCTCGGGACTGGGCCGTGTTTGGGGGCCAACCTGGAATGGGTTGATCTCAGGTATGCAAAGGAAGAGAGAGACGGCGAATCGTCATGCATGTAAGGAAGTACCCAGGTATGTATGTGTGGTCCGTGTGTGTATGTGTATGTGTATGTGTATGTGTGTGTGTGTGTGTGTCCAGGCAGGTGACGGGCGGCGGTGTGAATGAGAATACATAAATAAACCCACAGCAAAAAGGGCCTCGCTCGCAAGCAAAGACTGCGGAGGCAGTATCGTGTATCAGAAGCAATATCGGGTGCACCGTCGTGTGCAGTTGCGCAACGAGGTATGCGATGTCCTGGGCGATGGAATGGGAATCACGGATACGACCGCCTGCTGAGCACCGCCTAAAAGACAAATGCCGGACGTCGCGTCTTCTCGTTAGCACAAGGAAAATGATATCTCACAAGGTTGCCGTCGTTCTCTTGGCTGTCTCCGCCAAGTCGTGCTGTCTGTCGTCTCTCTCCTCTTTTCTTGTGTGCTTTGCGGGATGTGATATTCTGGACAATGCGCTCATTTGCCAGCTCACGGCTCCCGACTCACTTTCCTCGTTTGTGACAGAAATAAGTGAATAAATCAATCAATCGAAATGAATTTAAATTTTGGCAAGTCAATCTTTTGGCCAGGAAAGACAAATGGGTCGAAAGAAACGAGGGCACCTCGCATTAAAGGAATCCTATGCAGTCAGTCCAAGGGGGGCGGAAAGTGAAATAGATATCTCAACAAGCCCTCACCGACGGGAGTACAACCACGGAGCAGGGCCGGCCAACAAACCAGCCGTAAACATCAATAACCCAAGCAGGTCCCTTTCCGAAAATTGTAGAATCGTCGCTCGTCTTCTTCCAGAGACAGCCACGGTCAAGGACCAGTCGTTGGGTTGGCTCGGGCCCCGTCAAGTTGCCATGCCTGTGTCCATGCACATTCTGCATCGTCAGTAACAACCAGTTGACACTTGGGCCAGCCAGTGCCAATTGAGGACCCATCTACTCGGTGACCCCCAGCTCCCCCAGCCCTTGACCCCTGCTTAGCGCGATTCGAAGGGGAGAAACCGACTGGGATCAGTGGCATGTCTGATTCAGATGGTGGTGACTTGACTTACATTTTACGGAGTACAATATGTTCTCATTTTGGGCACTTCCAGTGTTGTTAACAAGCCTCTTGCACCTATGTACTTCGCGTTTCCCGTGTATGTCTACTCCGTACGTATGTATGTATGTATGTATGTATGTATGTATGCATGTCTGTCTGTCTGTCTGACTGAGAAATGGTCGTTTGAGCTCCAAATGCCTCGCTGTGTCAAAACTGGACCAATAGGCTACGAAGCCACACCTTCCATTCCTCTGATATCAATTACCATCTGTTGTTTCTGTCTGCTAGCACGCCAGCCGCAAGGGGCAAGACATGGTGGCTGCCCCGGGCAGTTGTAGCAGCTTCGCAGCTTCTTTCGTTTCTTTTGGCTTCTTTCTCACTCTGTACCTCTTGTCCTCATAGCCAATACGGATGTTCGAGATCTAGCTGAATTGCTTTTCAGCCCGAGACAGCTTCTTCCCCCCCTACAATACGTATTACCACTGGCTTAGAGATTGCTTGAGTGGTCCCCTGGACCCGTGCAGTTGATACTGGCTCGACTCGAGTACTCATTTCTTGCAGTTTTCTTCACGCCTTCACAGGCAGAAAGCGCCATCGATGATGCCACTTGGTGTCGTCGAGACCGCAGTGGTGCTCTGTACAGCACCTTGGCCCTTCTCGTCTGTTTGGACTGTCTAACAAAGCACCTGCAGGGTTTGGCTTGTCCATACAGGCCATGCCTATTGTCTGCTGCGTCTTTTTTTTGGTGCTTGCTTGCTGTTAGTGTTTGCTCAGAAATAAATCCTCCATGTAATGGCGCTTCTCCGTGGCAGCCGCAGAGCGGCAAATAAGGACAAAATGGCTTCCCCGCGGCCGCAATCCGCTCCTGTGACGTTCAATATTGAGGGCGCGGCTTTTACTTCGGACCGCATATTAAGGTTTGCCTAGAAGTTAGATTCAACATGAGATAGGGTGGTATCGCAAACGGCGGCCCTTGACGCTAAGCCCTGAATAAGATGACGTCTGTTACGACTGATGGGTGGTCATTGTTCGTCATAGGCCATGTTGTTGACAGCCTGGGAAAGGCAAAAGGGATTATTTACATGTGTACGGAGTACTGCGTGTTGCATACACTCACCAAGTCAAGCTGATATCGCCTCCCAAGTCCGGAAGGCTGTCCCGACGCGGCGACGAAGAAAAAGCAAAATATATGAGATTCTGATCGCGGCCGAGTGAGCAAAGTGCACTCTGCACGAGGCTCAAAGCCTGGCACTCTCAACATAAATGTATTGAAGACAACGACAGTCTGAATGAAGCCGCCAAGAACAGCAAGCCGGCATCGGGCAAAATGGAATGTTGACAGAATGTGGAGGACAGCGTACGGCAGCACAAACAGAAGGGTTCCTCAATTGGTTGACCAACAGCCAAAGGCCCTTTTGGCTTTTTTGAGTGATGAGGGGCCCTGATCCGTCCGGTCTCGTGGATGAGTTTGTCGTCCGAAAACAAGGAGGCCCTCCCCTGCTCAGCGACGAAACAAGGGCAACCAATCAGAGAGCTTTTCCGGCTTCCCGATGATGTTCCCCAGTGCGCCTCGTGCGCGGATAGGCCCCGCCAGGCAGACGGCTGAACGGTTCGAACCGGACTTGACTTGTTAAACTCCATACCAGTCAGCCAGTCGAGAAGCAGGACAGGGCTAGAATCACCCACCCTTGGGTCCAATGGACCGTTCGACAGGCAGGCAAGGGAGGGCGCAAGTGTGTTGAACAGCATTTGACGGGCCGTGGAGCCGATCAACGAGCGTTGGGTTTGTGTCGAAAATGGTTAGCCTTGTTTTCTCTTGTCTCTTGTCTCTCTTCTCACCTTCACTCCGTCACTGCACCCGAGTCACTCCGCCATCGATGTTGTCTCTTTGCTCACCTCCACCTCGTCCCGTGGTGTTTTTGGTCGGGCATTGCGTGTCTGTACTACTCCGTAGCGTCATCCCACCAATTGCAGGGCTCAACCACTCGTCGATGGCTCCGTTGGCGTAGGCTGTCACTTTTTGCCGCCCCAATGCCTTGACATCTGTGCCAATGTATCAATATTGGCGCCCCCTCTTCCCAAGTGCTTACGCATTGAGAAGCCAGGTGCCTGTGGTAACCCCCAGCCCGTTGCCAATGTCCTCGTCCGTGTCTCTCCTCCTCTTGGAGCAGTCGGGCTTCTGAATGGGTCGAGCCCACATAACGCAGAGAAAGAAAAGAGACAGTGAAAGGGGGGAAACTGAGCGACATCAGGTAATAAAACAGGAGCTACTCCGTAGATGACCTTCTTTTCCATGCGGCAGGACATTGAGTTGTGTAAACTGAGTTGTTCTTGAGTTTCCGGTGAGTCGCCGAGTCTCGCTCTGCTGTCTCTCTCACCATCTACTCGGTACGTTAAAACTATTCCATCTTCCGGACAATTGCGTGTGGGCGAAAGGAGACGTGCCTTTCAGCAATTCTGGCTCGGTCATATTCGGTTCTGAGAAAGACCACAGAAGACTTTGAGCATTGTCCTCCTGGGTTTGCTTTTTGGTCTGCTTGGCCTAGGCTGGTTTTTTCTGTTGTCTTCATCCTCCCAGCCAGCTCTGCTTGTTCTTGGACGCGGTTTTCTTTTTCCGTTTCCCCTCAACTTTTTTGTTAGCCAATTGTTTTGGATCATCCTCACGTTCTACAACCGCAAGCAAAAGTGCCAAAGGCTGTCGACGGCTATTTGCCACACCCCAGTCCCTGCTGCCTTGATTGAAACCAAATCATTCTTCAAGACATCATCCTTCGCCCTTCACTGATACACAGGGGACGTAACGGGCCATTATTCGCTCATTGCTTGTGCGCCTAAAAAGGCAATCCGTCATTGGCTCCGGTACCCCCTCCAGCACAACTAAGCTTGCGCTTTCGTACCTAGGGTTTAACAGGAATTTATCAGGAACTTGCACTGGTTTGGCTTCTTGGCCACGCTTCGAGAACGTTGTGCTGTGTCACTCCATTCTTTGAGCGGTGCCAGCATTGCTTGGCTACCTGTTCCAGAGCCTGGTCACTAGGCACGTAATTCGCATCCGCATCTGCTTTGTCAAGCCCTGTTATTACATTGGGTTCCTCGTGGAGTGCCCCAATATTTGATACTACTACCTGTCTGGTAGTCAACAAGTCATACCCACGTCGCATACAGAGCGGTCAGTCTGTGATAGGTCTGATCTTTATCGTGTGCACAGGCGAATAACCGAATGGTGCCGTGTTTTTATCGGTCTATGCTTTGGGGATTGAATGTGGCAGGTGGTGGCTAGTGGCCTTTGCATGAAGCTGGTACATTCGACTAAAAAAAGTCTGAAGGTTTCGTTGGGAGTGTTATCCAGCTGTTGGCTCTGGGGTTTGGAACACCCCCGGTATATTAGGTTGCTTGCATATGATCTGGTCATTCTTATATGCACATCATGTCGATCCCATCTATCTCTCGTTTGTTCGAGGCTGGACTGAGGAACTCTCCGTCGCGATCAGGATTCTTGGATTCCTTAGTTCAACAGCAGCTCGAGATAGCTTCTCGAGATATGGAAATGAATACGCCTCCGCCTTCATCCTTTAATTCGGAGGATCTCGTATCCGATCTTGGCGAATACTTTACCCGCACTGCAGCAATATGGGCTCAACTCACACAGCGGCTCATTAAAGGCCCTCATATTATCCAGGCATCCTTCAGGGCCCACGAGCGCTCCAGGACAGAAAGCCGCATGTCCGACCTTGCTGAGCTCGCCAAAATTGACATGGGGTTATCAAAACTGAGGTATGTGCTTGCTAGACGCCTTCAACTGTCGCCTGCGACATGAGCACGTACGGGCCTCGATTCAACTTTCAGCTAACGATTCTCGGTTCACGTGCCTACAGGCAAATCGGAGATCTCAGCGACCGATTTTCTCGCGAGGTCCAACAAGTCTGGTGGCCAAACGTCTCTATAATAAATGGAGGGGGGCAGGAAGTTTTGCAGACCTCTGTCTTACCATTCTGTGATAATAAGATATCTTCCATTTCAGAGTCCGTGTCCTTGACTAATGAGCCTGATTCGGCACATTTTACATCTCGCAAACTTTTGCCAGACAAAAGCCAGTTGAGCCACGCCGGTATTGGCGGCGGTGGATTCGGATCAGAAGACTCATCTGATGACGATGAGCAATTCCAAGCTATAGATATGGAGGCCCTTAGACAAAGAGGCAAAGGGGTGTATCTCTGTCCAAAAGGCATGAAGTGTGACAAGGGTGGAGTTGATAAGGACGGCAATCTTGTCGTCTTCGACAGAAATTCATCGTTTGCGTACGTTCCTCTCCTGATCCGCTGCTCACCTCGAGAAGCGCCGCCAATCCCCTGAAAACTTTGACGCCTGGTTCAAAATATTCTAACCAAGCGGGATACAGACAGCACTGCAATAAACATCGCAAACCTTGGCGATGTGATGTACCTGGGTGCCCCAATCCCCCCAAAAAGCGGAGATTTGCTCGCCGGGATGGATTAGAAAGACATAAAACGACTGTAAAGCATTATATGGTTACCTAATTAAAGGAAAAAAAGAGGGTGTGCTGAAAAATAGAGTAGGAGTCGGGCTCCATGGCCTTGATTATATACGGAGTACATAGACCATAAGTGAACCAAAAGGGCAAGCATATCCCCGGCAGTTGTGTGTGTGTGTTACACATGAAAGGAGGAGGGGGACAGGGGCGCATGTCGGCCCTGCCAAAATCCATACATATTTTTAACCTGGCCTGGTTGGATTGTGTGGCCAGACGAGTTCATCTGGGCGGAGTCGGTGAAGGGAGCCTCACAGCCCATACCCGGGAACTTGGAGCCAGCGGGGCCTGGATAAGTGCCTGAAATATTCTTTGCAGCGACTGCAACATTTGAGCCCGCATGGCTCTAAAGTCCGGAGTACCGAGTATGTCATGATGGCTCAGAGCGGAGGCATGAGAATAATGATTGAGAAGCTTAGCATATGAACTGCCCAAGTAGTTGAAAGTTACCTACCTACCTAGGTAGGTAGCTAGGTTGTTGGTGGCCAAAATTCACTCGCTCTTTCTAGTACAGGTTAGGGTCATGGAAACCTAGGGGTTGGGCAAAAGCCTTATGCACTTACAGTATTCGGACTTCACAAGTTCCAGATACTGTATCAAGGGCTTTGGGATGAAGTACTGGTAGGCACAACGGAGAAAAAGGCCAAAACTTACGTCTGGTCCTGACTGACTGACGCTTGGGCCTCATGGTGAGCCCAATTGATGCCACCGGTTTGCTGCAATTGCTCCTTCCGCCTGTCATACCATGTTCGCGACGCGACTCGAGACCTTACGCCCCCGAGTTGCAGTGGGCACACTCGGATGACCGTTACAGACGTACGTGCGTGAGATGGCCAAGGACAAATCAATTGCCGTGCATGAGGGAAAATAATTTCGTGCCATCGCCACGACAGACATCGACAGGCAAAAAATGAAGCATCCGAGAGTCTTCACAAATCAGTAAGCAGCTAGCCTAGCACAGAACAAGACTTTGGGCATGCGGCTACAAAAGCCTGCCAGTTGTCATGTGTCGGCATGATGCTTGAAGATGACTGGCACTGGCCCTTGACCGGTCAGTTTTTTGCATCGAACCGTTGACTGCCCACGGTGCCCACGGCAGGACATGATCCCACATGGACGCCCCTTCCCCGCGTCGGGCTGGGCTCCTCCTGTTGCCCGGATGGGAAATCCAATGCTGGTCGCTGTTCAGAACCACGGTATCTGTCATTTTCCCAGAAAATCTTCCGGACTGGCGGGTATCGTATGGATTTACGACACTAGTCTACGGTTGGTTATCCCAATTTCGGGAATAGTCGGTGTTCCTGTTTCAGCACTCCGTGGGTGATGCAAAGTAAGAAACGTGTACGAACCATGTCGTCATGCCGCCATCATCGGCAGATGGTTTCCAGTTGCCAGTGTTGGTCCAGAACCAAGGTCCAAGCAAGGCAATATAGTCCAGGGTTTCAGTTAAAAAAAAAAAATAGACCAGAATGACAGAATGCACGCCACGTTGAACTGGGCGTGTTCATGCTTCAATATTGCCCAATCTGCAGTGATGCCTTGCAGTGTATGTGCCAGTACGGAGTAGTGCCATGCCATTTCCTGTGAATACAACTCTGTGGTTGCTGGGAAAGACCAAGTGTTTCCAATTTGAACCTGAAGTTCGCGCCTTGAGGCTAACTGTATGTACGATAAGACCGCTAGCCTCACCCTGCACTCCATGTCTTACAGACAGCAATGTGGACCACAAGGGCCTTGCGAGCAGACTGCTGTGGAAGAGCATGATTGCCTCCCTATGCACCTTAGCATCCGGTCAGTCGACTGTGACCAACGAGGCGCCTGTATTTTTGTGCCGACTGGGTTTGGTACGATGAAATGCAAGATGATGCGTAGCGCCCAGACAACGGGGCAGAGCATGTACCGTGTCCAAGCCGCCGACAGGACGAGCCTTTTGCATGATGTGATGACCACATGGGGCTCATGTTACCGGCGCATTGCGCATGACTTCTGGACAAAGCCAAAGGGCTGGATATCAAACTCGGCGGTGAAGTCCAAGTACCAGCGGCCAACTCAGGAGTCGGGATTGTGGCGAGAGTAGCCTCTCTCCGTCATCCACTGTATCAACGGCTGGCCGGGATTGCAATGACATCGGCACGCGGGTTGCAAAAAAGGCCGCACACCCCGCACCCACAGCCACACACACAGGTGTGCGGCCTTTTTTGCAACCCGCGTGACCGCGTCCTGGTCGAGCGAATAATTCAAGCCGGCATCATGGGAATCGGTACGGGATGCCCATGAGCAAGAAACCATTCGAGGGCTAGCTAGCTAAGCTAGGTGGGTATACGAGAGAGCAAGGGTATATGCCAATTGCCACATCATTGTTTGAAAGGCGTACCATTGTGCCATGTGGTCGAATTCCGGTTCGTTTAGTCTCAAGGAACAAGCACTTCTGGCTGCCATCGACTCGCCACTGCGGCAGGTTGGAATGCAACTTTGCAATGCCCGACCATGTAGACCACATTGAGAACGGAAGGACGCACAAGCCTGGTCATCCCAGGAGAGCCTGAACTTTCGAGGGCATACAGAGATAAAGTGGCCGTATGGCTATAAGCCCCCACCCGCCCAGTTGGAATGTTTGAGGTACACCGCTTCAAAGCCGTGATTCAACTGACAGGGTTCGGGAGAATGGAGCAGGACAATAAGTGATGGAAGAAATATGGAACACTAGGGCAAATCTTGCTGGTGGCCCGGACGACACGCCGCTAGACGAGGGAGGTTTGGGAGGCAGGGATGGAAGATTGATTCAGCAAGAAACTCCTCCCTAGACTAGAGAACTCACGTGGTCTAGGGGCGGTGCGGGCCTAAAAGCACGGGCCCGGGACGTGACCAGAAACAGAGTAGAGAGCCAGAAGCTCGAGCGAGTGACAGTTCAGCTTGAAAAGTTGAATAATTTTCAATACAAAGAGCAATGTGCCTAGTTCAATCGCATGGTATAATACACACATTACGACGCAAAGGATTATGTACATGTATAATATATGTATATGTAGATAGACCAGGAGCTAATGGCCTCTCGTCTTCAGGCTGCGGCCTGTGTGACCAGGGCTCGCCCACCACTTTTGGATATTCGCGGAAAGCTTCTAGTAGCACCATGCACGTGTAGCTCTTCGGGAAGGCGGCTGCCGAGATACCAGGCTCCGCAGGCCTGTCTGACTCAGAGGATGCCTTGCTTCGTCCTTGGTCAGGATGCAGCTCATCAGCGTACGCGGGCGAGCGGCGGGTGGCTTACGGCGAGCCAGTAGTATCGGAGGCTGCTGTGGCAGTCGGTGAACGGTTGAAGGGCTTTGGGCAACGATAACGTGGCAGAAACAGTGGAAGCGAAGATGTTCGGGAGGCGGGAGACGCATCTCTCTTGGGTGCATACAGAGTCGTTGTACGGAGTAATAGGAAGCCTGAGAGCGCAAACGGCACGTGGCGCCTGTGAGAAAGTCGCAAGTCGCAAGGGCCATGTCAGGGGCTGGTCATGGAGTGTTGTTGGCCGGTACATGCATGTGCAGTCGCAAAATTTGTCCAACACGTCTTTCTGTAGGCTCTGTGATGGAGCCCGCTGCTATTCGGGTCGGCTGAAGGGCCATGTTTCTGCTTGTCTGTTCTCTCCGTCCTCCCGCCTCGTGATACCTCGTCTCTCGTCTCCGAGCCCGTTGGAGGCATGAAGGCATATTGTAGGGCCTCGAGGCTCGAAGGCCCTGGGGCCCTGGTGCAATCAGGTGTTATTGCTGCAGCCAGACGACCAGGGGAGCCATACATGATACATGTACGTGGACGCCTGGCCGCCAAACAAGGCCACCAAACAAAATGTCGCAGGCTAACGAAGCATCTCATGCGGGCCAGAATTGTGAGCCAAGGGGCCAGCAGCCTGGGGACATGCAGATGATGAGAGTCTGGCAGAGACAGTTGAGATCGTCCTGCTCGGACTCGGAATTGGCCAGGCAATCGCATCAAGTGGTTGTGGGGGCTGCCGGCTCCATCCCTTGGTTCTCCGTCCGGGAGTTCGGAATAGTTTTGAGAGATGGGACGTTTGCGGAGAGAAGAGACGATGGGGGGTGGGGACACACGACGTCAGATGGCGGGCATGTCTGCGAACGACAGATGCGGAGTCTAGGAGCCAGGGCAGTGACAAGGAGTCAAGGTACGGTACGGAGGACGGCGAAGGGAGAACTACCTCCAGATGTCGAGAGCGACGGCTGGCTTGCCCGCTGGCATCAAATGAGAAGAAAAGGGGAAGAAAAAGCAGAACAAGACAACATCTGTAAGAAGACCGAAGCAATTGACGCAAAGCCAACATTAGATACCAAGCACCAAGTTAGTACCTTGTAGGTAGTGGCACATATATCCAGGGGTAGCAGAGTACTCGGCGGATACCACCACCTGCTGTGTACCGTACCGTGCCTTGTAGTCAGGTACCTTACTTGGTACTTAAGTACTTGGGCAAAATGAGCCTACAGCGTACCGCGTCCAGGACAAGCCGACATTGAAACTCGGTACGCGGAGCTCGATATGGCAGTCCGAGGGTAGCGGAATCGAGACTCTGCATACTTGGTTTACCTAAGTGCGTATATCTGGATATGGGATGTGAGGTTGCCTACAGGGACCTGAAGTAGGTACCTAATGTACTTGGAGTGAAAGACACCACAATCAGTCCAATCAGATGCCGATGCAGTCCAGATGTCGGGCGTCTACAACTCAGTCATTGATTGCATGTTTCTGCCTTGCCTTGTTGCTGAACGTATTACTACACCGATTCTGCGTTCCGTATGGAGCACTC